GGCTTTTTCTACAAAAAAAGCTCTGAGGATATGCATATCCTCTCTATCTTTCTCAATGTTGCAGCATTGGAGTGGGGAATGTGCAGGTTTCAGTCATTTTTAAAAAGGAAGGGAAAATGCAGTGAAAGGCTTAGGGCATTGCTGCAAACAAATATATAGATTTGTCTAACAAATATATAGATTTGTCTAACAACATGGAACGCCATAAACTGCAAACATGTGATAATATCACAGTCACATGACAGGAAGACCGGGAACCAGAGTTGTGAGTGGACAATAGGCACCTGACAAAGAAAGCTGGGGATAGGAGGCGAAAGCTGAGCATAGGGAGATGCACTATAGTAAGGAACATGCCAAGGATGAAAAACACGAAGCCATTAACTGTACCACTGAAGGACATTACCTCACCATCTTGCTGCTTTTCTCCGTATGCAAAGTAGGAGAGATGGCACCGTTTGTCTTTGCGTCTGCACCTGAGCACCAAGACTTCGAAAAGCAGCAAAAAATGTACCCCCACATGTCACCCCAAGCCACAGAGATCAATTCATCAGCAAATGAGTCCAGTGAGACAAAAACAATGCAAACTGTTCAAGTCCCACACCCATCACCCCACATGCTACTGCTATTTACTAAATCAGACCACTTGTTTCTTTAGGTCAATACTGTCTGCTCTGTCTGCTCTGAATGGTAGCAGCTCTCCTGTGTCTTATATAGAAGCCCTCCCATCATCAGCTATCTGATGCTACTCACTGGAGGGGCCAGGACTTGAAACTGGTCTGGGAACTTCTGCATTCCCAGTAGAAGCTCCACCACTGAGCCACAGCCCCTTCGTCAACTGTACCAACAGTCAAAATGTCTGTCTCTTCCAGCATTCTAGTGAAGAGAGGTCTCTGCTGTGTCCTGATGAGGCTGAGAATGCAGGGCAATTAATTCCTAGCTGCTCAATACAAAGTAGCAAGATATGATCCAGTATGCCCCATGCTTAACACCTTCCCTGCCTCCCAGGACCAAAATTAGGATTGGAGCCAAACGTTCAATGCAGTCCCAAAATATTTCTCACAGCCCCAGAGGAAATTCAAATGGCATCCTTTTTGTGACCTGACTGAAACACTCTTTACCAAAAACAGCACACTGTGCTTTTAAGTATCCTTGTGACAGTCAAGACCAATCAGGTTAGGGCTGATTACTGTGAAGGCGGAGCATATATGCCAGCAGGTTAGGTATAAAGGGCTGTTAGTGTCAGACCTTCCATTGTCTTCTGTCTTGTTTTCTTTCTCATTGCAGCTACCAGTCTCATCACAATGTTCTGGTCTCCCATGCTCAGTCTTTTCATCATGTGGTGCACAGGTGAGATTAGATGAAATACACATTGCAGCACTGTTAATTGGGATGCAGCTCAGGTGCAGCACACCTTTGACCATTTCTGCCATGTTCTCTTTTCCAGGTTCAGATTCTCAGCCTGTGCTGACTCAGCCATCCTTAGCATCCGTTTCTCCCGGGGACCCAAAAAAGCTCTCCTGCGTCATGGGCAGTGGGTTCAGCATCAGTGGCTACACTGTGTACTGGTACCAGCAGAAGCCTGGGAATCCCCCCAGATACCTCTTGTATTATTATTCTGATTCCAGCAAGCACCAGGGCTCCGGGGTCCCCTCTCGTTTCTCTGCGTCCAAAGACACATCCAGCAATACATGCTATTTAAACAATGCTGGAGCCCTGGCAGAAGATGAGGCTGATTATTACTGTGCAGTGTGGCACAGCAATGCGTGTCACAGTGATACAGTCAGATGGGGAAGCTAAACAAAAACCTCTTTTGTTCCCCAAGGGAAGCTGAATCGCTTGTCTATGTCGCACAGATGGACTCAAACATTGTTCTGCTACTTCAGAGTAACACGGCTCCCCACCTGAATCTATGTAGTACAGGGACATCATCAGACTAATGAAACCATTAGACTGCATGAGTAAGTGTGTGTTAACAATTAACATAAACTTATTCCCTTTTGCATTGCCCTTTTCCACAGTCATCCCGCATGAGATCTATATAGAAATGGCTTCCCAACCAGTGCTAGAATCCTATTCTAATGCAATCTTAGCAATATTTTATCTTTGGTCATTATTGAAGCCCATCATAGTATTAAGCTTCCAGTTCTCTTACTGCACCTTTAATTCCTCTAGTAATAAAGCGCTGAATTATTTACATATTCAAATAATACACCAAGTGAACATTTCATGTTCCTTCGTCTTGCACTCTAAAACTTGTCTTGCCTTGTTTGTGGGATGGTTGAACATTACAAATTGTACCACTGAAGGTTCAATCATGCATACCAGGATTGGCCCAGGAGATCAAGCCCGTGATTGGAACAAGAATGTGGAGTGCAAATAATAAGCAGAAAATAAAGCTTTCATAAATGTATGGGGGGGGGACAGGTGTTTCATATTCATGGTCACACTTACCCAGGATAATTTAATAATGCACATTATTTTCCCCTTAAAACCATCTAATCTTACATTTGTA